AGTCTATCCTGGCTAACACAGTGAAACCCCATCTCTACTAAAAAATACAAAAAATTAGCCGGAGGTGGTGGCGGGCGCCTGTAGTCCCAGCTACTCGGAAGGCTGAGGCAGGAGAATGGTGTGAACCTGGGAGGCAGAACTTGCAGTGAGCAGAGATGGCGCCACTGCACTCCAGCCTGGGCGACAGAGCAAGACTCCGTCTAAAAAAAAAAAAAAATTACCCGGCCGTGCTGGCACGCGCCTGTAGTCACAGCTACTCAGGAGGCTGAGGCAGTAAAATTGCTTGAACCTGGGAGGCAGAGGTTGCAGTGAACCGATATCACACCACTGCACTCCAGCCTGGGCAACAGACTGAGACTCCGTCTCAACAACAAAAACAACAACAATGAACTATTGATACAAAAATATTAATATCTTGGATGATCATCATGGAATTATGCTGAGTGAAATAAGCCCCTAAAACATCACATACTGTAAGATTTCATTTGTACAGCATCATAGAAAAGACAAAATTATAGAAATGAAAAACAGATCAGTGGTTGCCAGGGGTTAGGGATGGTGGATGGGAGGAGAGTGGGTATTACTAAAAATGAGTAGCACAAGGGATAGCATTGTGGTGATGGAAATGTTCTGTAACTTTTTTTTTTTTTCCAGAGAGGGATTTTCACTCTGTCACCTAGGCTGGAGTACAGTGACACGATCTCAGCTCACTGCAACCTCTCCCTCCCAGGTTCAAACCATTCTGCTGTCTCAGCCTCCCACGTAGCTGGGATTACAGGTGCGTGCCACCATGCCTGGTAAGTTTTGTATTTTTAGTAGAGATGGGGTTTCTCCATGTTAGCCAGGCTGGTCTCAAACTCCTGACCTCAATGATCCACCCACCTCAGCCTCCCAAAGTGCTGGGATTACAAGCATGAGCCACCGCACCTGGCCGTGTTCTGTATTTTTTTTTTTCTGAAATATAAGCTTTATTTAAAATTTAAAGAAATACTAAAAATAAACATTTTTCGGCCTAGCGCGATGGCTCATGCCTGTAATCCCAGCACTTTGGGAGGCCGAGGCGGGCGGATCACGAGGTCAGGAGATCGAGACCACGGTGAAACTCCGTCTCTACAAAAAATACAAAAAATACAAAAAATTAGCCAGGCATGGTGGCAGGCGTCTGTAGTCCCAACTACTTGGGAGGCTGAGGCAGGAGAATGGCGTGAACCCCGGAGGTGGAGCCTGCAGTAAGCCGAGATCGTGCCACTGCACTCCAGCCTGGGTGACAAAGAAGACTCGGTCTCAAAAATAAAAAATAAAAAAATAAAAAATAAATACACTTTTTTCTACAAATTTTAATCAAGCACTCAAAGCAATTTAAGAATATTAAACACTAATTCTTAATTGAAAATAATGACCTCCATAGAATGCATCCTGGTGTTAGCCAACATCAGGTTTACTTAATATTGGTATTTTATATATGCTTAACTAGTCATCCTTCCTAAAATTCAATGATAACAATGATTTGACTTTATAAGGTGAAGCCATTTATGTAATACCCCAGATATAACATTTTCAAAAACAAAACATTTATACTAGCATGGAAATTATAAAAACATACATAAATTATACTGAAGGATGTGATTTAAAGGCTGTCTATATACATAGATGTGTTTCACCTTAGAAAGTACACATGCACATCAAAACATTCACTGAATATAGATGCCATTAAATTCTCTTACTTACGTTACAAAGCAAAGGGCCAGTTCATAAATGTTGTTCTAGTATGTATCAACTGCAAAAAACACAAAAAGGTTTTGAAGACACATGGGAGTGGGATGTGCCCACATTAAGAGCAGAGCTTTTACAGGACCACCTGTCTCTCCAGCAGGCTCCCAGCGACCACTGAAAACAGCTGCTACCCTCAGAAACAAGATGGTGTTGTTAATGATAACGATGGACCCTGGAATCTCATTCTCCTTGACCACCAGCGGAGGCGAAATCTGATGATGTCGCCATGGGTTGGTTTGGCCAGAAGTCCATTATCTTGAAGTCTCAGACACACTTTCCAACTATCACAATCTTTGGTTTCTTTAATAACAATAGCGTTTAATAATTCTTTTCCTCGCTGGGCTCAGTGGCTCACACCTGTAATCCCAACACTTTGGGAGGCTAAGGTGGGTGGATCACCTGAGGTCAGGAGTTTGAGACCGGCCTGGCCAACATGGTGAAACTCTGTCTCTACTAAAAATACAAAAGTTAGCCGGGCATAGTGGTGCGTGCCTGTACTCCTAGCTACTTAGGAGGCTGAGGCAGGCAAATCACTTGAACCCAGGAGGCAGAGGCTGCAGTGAGCCAAGATCACGCCATTGCAATCCAGCCTGGGCAACCACAGTGAACCTGTGACTTAAGTAAATAAGTAAATAAAATAATTATTTTCTTTTTACAGCAGTTACAACATCAGAAGGCAGCTTCATGGGTTCATTTCTCAAGATAATACCCATTTTTTTTCCTGCAATTTCAGCAAGGTTTTCTTCTTCTAAAACTTCAAGGGCTACGATGGCCACTTGGCAGCCTAGTGGATTGCCACCGTATGTGGACCCATGTTCTTCTAGCTTAATGGTCAGCATTATGTCATCATTCCACAGCAGCGCAGACACAGATTGTCAGCCCCCAGAAAGGGCCTTTCTAAGGAGGACTATATCAGGTCTGACATTTTCATGATCAACAATTAGCCATCTATCAGTTCTGGCCACTCCTGTCTGTATTTCATCAACAATAAACAGAACCAAGCTGGGATCATGAGATGGGACAAGAGTAAGTTAAAATACCACAAAGCTTACTATTCTTACAGAGATTCAGCTGGTCTTTCTTGTCTGTCTGTCTTTCTTTCTTTCTTTCTTTCTTTCTTTCCTTCCTTCCTTCCTTCCTCCCTCCCTTCCTTCCTTCTTCCCTTCCTTCTTCCCTTTCCTTCCCTTTCCTTCCCTTCCCTTCCTTCTTCTCTTCCCTTCTTCCCTTCCCGTCTTCCCTTCCCTTTCTTCCCTTTCCTCTTCCCTTCCCTTCTCCCTTCCCTTCCCTTCCCTTCCCTTCTCCCATCCCTTCTCCCTTGCCTTCCTTTTCTTTTCAACAGTTTTTCTCTGTGGCCCAGGCTGGAGTGCAGTGGTGGGATCTCAGCTCAATGCAACCTCCCCTTCCCGGGTTCGAATCTTTGAGTGAGCCCAGGAGGTCAAGACCAGCCTGGGAAACATAGCAAAAGGCAGGGTGGTGCATGCCTGTAGTCCCGAGGCCGAAGGGGGAGGATTACTTGAGCCCAGGAGGTAGAGACTAGCCTGGACAACATAGCAAAACTGTCTCTACTAGAAAAATTAAAAATATTAGAAGGGGCTGGGTGGTGTATGCCTGTGGTCCCGAGGCCGAGGCAGGAGGATTGCTTGAGCCCAGGAGGTCAAGGCCAGCCTGGCCAACATAGTGAAACCCCATTTCTACTAACAACAAGGACAACAAAAAATAGCATGGGCAGGGTGGCTCACCCCTGTAGTTCCGAGCCTGAGGTGGGAAGATTGCTTGAGCCCAGAAGGTCAATATCAGCCTGGTCAACATAGCAAAAGCCTGTCTCTCCTAAAAAAAATTATCAGGGCAGAAGGGCACACGCCTGTAGTCCTGAGGTCGAGGCAGAAGCATCGCTTGAGCCCAGGAGGTTGAGGCCAGTCTGTGCAACGTAACGAAACCCGGTTTCTACTGAAAAAAAAAAAAAAATACCGTGGGCAAGGTGGTGCATGCCTGTAGACTCCAGGCTGAGGCGGGAGGATCCCTTGAGCCCAGGAGATTGAAGCCAGCCTGGTCAACATAGAGAAACCCGGTTTTAACTACAAAAAAAAAAAAAATGGGCAAGGTGGCGCATGCCTATAGTACTGAGAACGAGGTGGGAGGATTGGCCAAGGCGGACGTAATCAATACCACAATCACATCCCGTAAGTAAATATCTTTTCCTCTCTCCAGGACTACAGGTAAAGGATGGTAATTGTGTGCACCATACTTTGATTCCCTTCCAAAAATGCAATCAGAGGTTGGAGGGCCTTGGACGGATTTTTTAGTTCCAACAGATGTAGAAGCCACTGAAGAATGAATGTCACGACGAAGTACAGCAAACCTCCGCAAATGTGCTAGTTTGGAAAACATTGTGTCTTTCAAGTAGAAAAATCACAAATCGACTATTGTTTTCTTCCCATGGTTCAGACTAGAATACAGATGTTTAACCCAAGATCCAGGGACGGTCTTCAGAGAGATCAAAATCTCCTGATGGCACCTGAGGACCACCCACTTTGTCACACAAAGTGTGGCTGGAGGAGGCAACAATATTCTGCAATGTCACTGCCCAAGGATGATGGACCAATCAGGGCAGTCAGTGAATTCCATCTGGCCAATTAGAAGTCAGGACAGTAGGCGGAACAAGCGAAGCTGATTTGGCGTCTATCAGTCCAGGCTCCAGCGACAGAACCTTCTCAAAAGCGGGGCGAGACTCTGATTTTCCCGCCAAAAGCATCCCCTTGGATTGGCTACTTTAAGTTCAGCGTGCGCATGCTCTGATTTGCTCTTTTGATTCTTCCACAATCAGGGTAAGCGTGCGCTGATTTTCTCTTTCCGTTCTTCCTACCCATCCCCTCCCCCCGTGGTGCATTTCTTATCTAGCGTTAATAATGTGTTTATATGAGGCAGGTCCCCATCTCAACTCCTTCCTGTCAGTTTCTAACTTTTTCAGGTATGGTATTTTTCCTAGGAACTCTGTAGTAGCTTAAGAAATTTGGGCGGAGCGTGGTGGCTCACGCTTGTAATCCCAGCACTTTGGAGGCCACAGGTGGTGGATCGCTTGAACCTGGGAGGTGGAGGTTACAGCGAGCCAGGGTCATGCCACTGCAACACGCCTGAGCAACAGAGCAAAAACCTGTCCCAAACAAACAAAAAAAAAAAACCTCACTCAAATCATTCCTTCGGCTCCGGGACTACAGGCACACACCACCCTGCCCAGAGCACCAAAGGTCCTGTGGCTGGAAAGACTCAGGCTGTTTCTCTTGCAGGTCAGACTGCTCCCGGTGCCATGAACGGAGACAACACCTTTGCAAGGAGACCCAGGGATGATGCTCAAATATCAGAGAAGATACAAAAGGTGAGGCGAGCTGGAGGGGGCAGAGTAGTGGCCCAGGGGACAGTGTGGGGTGAGTAGGTTTCTGAGGGGGAGAGGACAGAGGTACTGGGGACAAGGAGCAGGGTCTCGGGGGAGATCTGGACCCTTGGGAGCCTCCCACCCTCACTCTGTCATCACCTAGCATCCCTAGAGACAAGTCTGTGATCTTGCACTTCATTTGGTGACTCTCAGTCCACTCTGGAAGGTGGGAAGAGAGTCAGCCAGCAGCATTAAAGCCCTACTGTGTGACAGCGGAGAAGCTAGGGTAGGTCCCCGATGTTGTCTCAGTTAGCCATGGCATCAACCAGGACGGATTATCATCCCCACTTCCCAGATCCAGCACACAGGAAGCGGCTCCAGCTGAATGGCAGACATGCCTAGCTGAGTCACCACCAGAATTTCTTTTTTTTTTTCCAGGCCTTCGATGATACTGCCAAATACTTCTCTAAGAAAGAGTGGGAAAAGATGAAAGCCTCAGAGAAAATCATCTATGTGTATATGAAGATAAACTATGAGGTCATGACTAAACTAGGTAACAGAAAGTTCTAGGTACACAGAAGTCTGGGGACACATGAGCATCCCTTTTCCTGCTTTGGCTACTTCTTAGGCTACAGAAAGTACCCCACATTTTCATTTTGTGTAGGGAAAAATCGCAAGGCAGCTTCTGGGTGTTCTGCTCTTCTGTATCCTGCAGGGCTGAGGGCAGGGACTGGCCACAGTGGAGCTCATAGCTGTATCCTGCTCATACCGTCTTTTCTGATGAGCCCAGCTGTCTCTGTGGCATCCCTCCATCCCCTCAACCAACACGCATACCCTCCCTTCCGTCTCTTGGCTTGTCTCTCTCTCTCTCTTTTTTTTTTTTTGTATGAGTCAGTCTCACTCTGTCACCTAGGCTAGAGTGCAGTAGTGCAATCATAGCTCACTGCAGCCTCGAACTCCTGAGCTCAAGCAATCCTCCTGCCCAGCCTGTGGAAAAGCTGAGGCTACAGGCACGTGCCACCATGCCGAACTAATTTTATTTTATATTTTGTAGATATGGAGGTCTCTCTATGTTGCCCAGGCTCGTGTTGAGTGCCTCGCCTCAAGCAATCCTCCAGCCTCAGCCTCCCAAAGTGCTGATACTACAGACATGAGCCACCGTGCCAGGCCTAAGCTTGTCTCTTAAAGAATAAACATTTTGCTTCTTTCTAGGTTTCAAGGTCACCCTCCCACCTTTCATGTGTAGTAAACGGGCTGCAGACTTCCACGGGAATGATTTTGATAACGATCGAAACCGCGGGAATCAGGGTGAGTAGATGGGAAGGGGCTGGAAAGGGTCTCCTCAAGTCCAGTTGCTTTTCAGCTCAGCGACCTGGGAAAGATCCTCAGACATTTGTTCCCTCATACACATCAGGGCTGAGTGAAAAAAGAAATTGCATGCAGAAAATTAACTACAGAGGCCAATCATATAAAATTCTAAAACATGCAAAACAAGAAAATATATTTTTATGGATAATAAGTAAATGGTAAATGTATACAAACCTGAATGTGAATAAAAAGCCATCAAATTAAGGTGACTGCCTGTAAGTGGAGGAGGGAGGGAGGGCAGGGATTGGTGAGTGCTGCACAGACACCTTCAGCTGTGACTTATTGATAGTATGTTTTGCGTTTTTTGTTTTTTTGTTTGTTTGTTTGTTTTGTTTTGTTTTTGAGTTTCGCTCTTGTCACCCAGCCTGGAGTGCAATAGCAAAATCTGAGCTCACTGCAACCTGCACCTCTCAGGTTCAAGCAATTCTCCTGCCTCAACCTCCCAAGTAGCTGGGATTACAGGCACCCACCCCCACATCCAGCTAATTTTTGTATTTTTGGTAGAGACAGGGTTTCACCATGTTGGCCAGTCTGACCTCAAACTACATGACCTCAGGTGATCCACTTGCCTCAGTCTCCCAAAGTGCTAGGATTACAGGCATGAGCTACCACTCCTGGACTGTTTATGCTATTGCTAATATTCTGAATAAATAAATCAGATCTAAGATAACTGTGAGCTAATGTTGAGACCCGACTGGACTCAATTTTATTCCCCATACTTTTCTGTGGGTTTGAAATATTTCTTTTTTAAAGAACGTGTTGTTCTTCCTAAGCACTGTTAATGAATCAAAGAACATTTAAGAAAATGTTAAAAGTGAAAAAAAGAAAATGTTAAAACTGTAGATCCGCCAAAAACTTCCAGAGTTTGTTTCATTAACAGCATGTGGGTATTGAATAAGTATCTTAAGAGAGGGTGATGAACACATTATGTAATAAAGATCGCTGTTTCTCTGTATTTTATCAAAACCAAATAGTCCTCACATTCTGCAACAACCCCTGTTCTCCGTGTTGAGCTTGGAAGAGGGTTTGAAAGAGTGATCCCTTATCCAACACACAGAGAGCTTTCCCACTTCTCAGTGAGCAGAGATAATATAGGGTGAAAAACAGACGGGTTCTTGAGCAGAGATCTTTGTGCATTTCAGGAATATAAAGGGGACATATGTGTTTACCTGCTCTTCTGCTCTGAGAATACAGTTATAAGACAAGGTCAAAATGTCCAAACTGTCTCCAATAGACCTATTACTCCCCAACTAAACAGGCCAGATTCTACCATCTCCCACAATCACTATAAGAGGTCTGAAAATCCAGTACTTGAGTATCTGCCAAGTTTTTGACATTAAAGGAGTGTCTTTATACTGAAAATATTTCAGAGCCACTGGACTAAATCATCCATGGGTTCGTCACACATTTAACAGATTAATGACATACCATAAGATTCACCCATTTGAAGTGTAGAGAGATTTTCAGCTGTTGCACATCTTGAGTGGATACATTTCAGATTCCTAAACAATCAATTTAACTATTTGGGAAAAAGTAAAAGACACGTAATGAAATAAGATGAGACTGTGATGGGATTTAGTTCCCATTTGATAAACCATAAGATGGATAATTCTGAGTTGATGCCACAGATAAATGCAGTAACCATTACTAAACATAATTCAGAAGCAAATTTCAAATAACTCCTCAACAATGAGTGGACTCATAACCCTCTGCTGCAGCATACCCTGATACTACAGAAGTCTCTCTAGTTTGGAAATCTTTACCAACACAGAAAAATTCTGATGTATTCTCTTTCAGTTGAACATCCTCAGATGACTTTCAGCAGGCTCCAGAGAATCTTCCCGAAGGTGAGTATCTCTCAAATCTAAAGGACCAGAGAAGCTTTTTCCCTCCACAGATGCAAACACTGGTAACAGTGGGAGAATATAAAAAATGCCCTCACTGCCTCCTTCTCCCCATGTGTATCACAACACCTGATGTAGCACTGACAGCTTGATAATACTAACAGTTGTGATCCTTAATACTTCTTTTGTTTTCACAGTGATGCTAGATACTATTTTAAACAGTTCACATGGGTTAATTTATTTAATCCTTAAGAAGACCTCTATGATGTTGTTTCTGTTATTATCTCCAGATAATAATGAGTCACACACTTCAGTTGTCATCCATATAAAAGCCATGTGACTTGGCGCAAATATTCTAAGTTCTCTGAGTTTCAGATTCCTGGTCCATGAAATGGAAGTAAAGAATCATACATAGTTCATGTTTTAGATCCTAGTTATCAGCAACATAATAATAAGATGAGGCTATCGGGGTACAGAGATTTTAAAGAATTTCCTGGGGCGCAGTGGCAGTGGTAGTCTAATTCAGAGTTCCAAGCCATTTAAAGCTCATTAACGTTTGCATTTTTTTATGAAGTTCAGATGTTGCTCACTAGGGCTTTACCCCATAGGGCCTGCTGGTGCTTCCGCTGAGACACCCACTCTCGCAACAGGAAGGACCAGCTGGCCTCTGATCTGTTACTGGGGCCACTTGCATGGCTTAGGAATTGCTTTGACTGTTGGTCCCTCCCTACTGTGAGCTCCTTGAGGGCCTTGTCTGCACCTGGGGCATCCGGGAAGTCCCAGTCCCAGCTCAGGGGATCCCTCGGAGGCTCCTGAATGAGTAATCCCACAAGTGCAGAATCAACTCTGGTTTAGAGGGTAAAGGAATCTGGGAGTTGGGTTGCCAGTGTGGAGACCAAATTCAAAGAGGATCATGAAAAGTATTAGTTTTTTATTATTACTGCATTCAAACAGTGTTTACAAGCTCAGAGAGGACTTTCCCTTAGCCTATTTTACATGTGTTGTTGACTATTTTGTAAGTGAGGAAGCTGAATAAAAAGTAGCTTAAGGGCCGGGCGCGGTGGCTCACGATTGTAATCCCAGCACTTTGAGAAGCTGAGGCGGGTGGATCACGAGGTGAAGATATCAAGACCAACGTGCCCAACTTGGTGAAACCTCGTCTCTACTAAAGATAGAAAACTTAGCGGCGCATGTTAGAGCCTGCCTGTAGTCCCAGATACTCTGGAGGCTGAGGCAGGAGAATTGTTTGAACCCGGGAGGCAGAGGTTACAGTGACCCGAGATCGTGCCACTGCACTCAAGCCTGACAACAGAGCAAGACTCCGTGTCAAAAGAAAAAAAAAAAAAAAAGGAAAAAAAAAAGTAGGTTAAGACTGTTGGTCAGTGACACATCCCAGTGTAACCAAAATTGGTATGGGTACCACCTTACTTAATTCCACATTCAATGTTGGTGCCTCTGTGGGGTGGTATATCATATCTGGTACTGCTTTCTTTGCTGCCTAGATTAATTTCAGCAAACCATTTCTTTCTCTCTCCCTTCCCTGTATTCATCTCCCCACACCATCTTTCCCAGCAGTGTTTTGTCCCCCCTCTATGTTTTTACATTTACTCTCCCAGTAGCTGTCTACAAGCTTATATGGGATCCCTTGTATTTTATAGAAGCTCTTCCTTTTGTAGACCTTGTGAATTCTTAGAATGCTATTCTTCTCCAAATTTTCTGTATATGACAGTCTCAATTACATGGAGATTTTTGCTGTTTGCAAGAATGTCAGTCTTAAAAGACTGTGAGGATAAGCACTCTATCCCTGGAAAGCCCATTCATTTAGGCCATTCCTTTCCCTTCTAACCTCCCAGGTTTCTCCTAATATAGGGCTATGTAACTCTCCCAGTGTTGTTGAGAACATTGATTAAGGAAATGCATGTGAAGACGCTTTGTAAGCTCTAAAGCACTATAGAAACGTCACTGATACTGTTTATCTGTGACCTTCACATTATAAAGATCATGCCCAAGAAGCCAGCAGAGGAAGGAAATGATTCGAAGCAAGTGGCAGAGGCATCTGGCCCACGAAATGGTGGGAAACAGCTGTGCCCCCCGAGGAAACCAAGTACCTCTGAGAAGATTAACAAGAGATCTGGTAAGAGGAAACAATTTGGGAACGACCCCTCTGGCTTCCCTGGCTATGTTCAGGTGTGGGGACTGGGTGTGTGGCATGGATCCCAGACAAGCCTGGGTCCAGGCTGGGCTGAGGAGCTTGCCCAGCTCCAGATGAGATGTTAGACATGACTTCCAGAGACACAGACTTGAGTTGTCATCCATACAAAAACCATGTGACTTGGGGCAAGTCTTCCAAATTTCCTCAGCGCCAGGTTCCTAGTCCATAAGATGGAAATAAAGAATCACAGTTCATAAGTTGTTTGGAAACATTACATTGAATCTAGAAGGCCTGATGACATGAAAGGTGCTCAATCAATTCTATCTGTGATGACCTGCAATCATATCTTACTCAGTTCAATGCCTGATACCCAATATAGATGTGCTTCAGAGATATTGCAGGTTCAGTTCCAGACCACTACAATAAAGTGAGTCACACACATTTTTTATTTTTGGTTTTGCAGTGCATAAAAACATTATGTTTACACTACACTGCAGTCTACTAAGTGTGCAATAGCATTATGTCTAAAAATGTACATACCTTAATTTTAAAATAATTCATTGTTAAAAATGCTAACAATCTTCTGAGCCTTCAGTGAGTCACACATTTTTTGCTGGTGGAGGGCTTTGCCTCAGTGTTGATGGCTGCTGGCTGATCAAGGTGGTGGTTGCTGAAGGGTGGAGTGGCTGTGGTAGTTTCTTAAAATAACACAACAATGAAATTTGCCACATCAATTAGCTCTCTCTTTCTTGAAGGATTTCTCTGTAGTATGTGATGCTATTGGATAGCATTTTACCCACAGTAGAACTTTTTTCACAGTTGGAGTCAACCCACTCTAGCTATGAAAGTCCTAGATGGCATCTCCTTCCAATAGAAGGCTAGTTTATCTACATTGAAAATCGGTTGTTTAGTGTAGCCACCTCCATCAGTGATCTTAGCTAGATCTTCTGGGTAAGTTGCTGCAGCTTCTCCATCAGGGTTTGCTGCTTCACCTTGCACTTTTATGTTATGGAGATGGCTTCTTTCCTTAAACCTCACAAACCACCCTCTGCTACTTTCACACGTGTCTCCTGCAGCTTCTTCACCTCTCTCAGCTTTCATGGACTTGAAGAGGGTTTGGGCGTTGCTCTGAATTAGACTTTGGCTTAAGGGAATATTGTGGCTGGTTTCATCTTGTATCCTGACCACTCAAACTGTCTCTATTTAAGCAGTAAGGCAGTTTTGCTTTCTTATTCTTCCGTTCACTGGAGTATTAGTATTATTATTTCCTTCAAGAACTTTTCCTTTGAATTATATACTATTATTTCCTTCATGAACTTTTCCTTTGCATGCACACCTTGGCTGTTTGGTGCAAGAGGCGGAGCTTTCAGCCTGTCTTGGCTTTCAGCATGCCTTCCTCACTCAGCTTAGCCATTTCTAGCTTCTGATTTAAAGTGAGAGACATGCGACTCTTCCTTTCATTTGAACACTTAGCGGCCATTGTAGGGTTGTTCACTGTCCTAATTTCAGTGTTGCTGTGTCTCAGGAAATAGGGAGGCCCGAGAGAAGGAGGAGAGATGGGGAACAGCTCATCGGTGGAGCAGTCAGACCACACACAACATTGGTCAATTAGGTTTCTCATCTTCTATGGGTGCAGTTCCTGGTACCCCCAAAACAATTACATAGAACAGGGTGATTATAGTCAATAATAACTTCATCATACATTTTTTAAAAAACTAAAAGAGTGTAAATGGATTTTTTGTAACACAAGGATAAATGTTTGAGGGCATGGAGACCCTATATTCCATGATGTGATTATTACACATTTCATGCCTGTATCAAAGCATCTCATGTACCCCATAAGAATATACACCTACTGTGGAACCACAAAAATAAAAAACAAAATTATTTTAAAAGACTAAAGAACAACAAAACAATTGCAATAATAATATCAAAGTTCACTGATGACAGATCACAATAACAGATATAATAATAATGGAAAAGTGTAAAATTGGTGAGAATTCCCCCCAAAAAATTGCAGCATATGCAAAGCACTATAAAAACGATGTGCCATAAAACAAGGTATGCCTGTGTGCCCTTAGCAAATACATGCAGCATGAAAGGAGGTATGGTTGAATGTTCCTGTAAGTGAAGAGGTTGGGAATCTAAACCTCACATCGGAAGGAGCCAGAAGCTAAAACTTTAACTGGTATTTGCAGTGTACTGGTGTGGCTCTAAGATCTCAGCCTCTCTAAGCCAGAGAGTGTGAAAACCTGAATAAAGAAGGCCCATGGGCACGTGGGAGCAGGGAGGCATCTCCTTCTTTTGAGAAAACAGAGCCTAACACTCTCCAACCTACCCAACCCTCATCTTCCACCTCTTCTCCATCATAGGACCCAAAAGGGGGAAACATACCTGGACCCACAGACTGCGTGAGAGAAAGCAGCCGGTGATTTATGAAGAGATCAGCGACCCTGAGGAAGACGACGAGTAACTCCGTAAGTGAACCTTCGGCTCATCCCCCACATCCCTGCAGATGTGCTATTCTGTTACGGTACCGGTATCCCATCTTGTCATTTGTTCCCCAAATCATTCCCTTCTCATAATTTTCTAGGGTACAGCACTGAGGCTGAATGATGAGATTTCCCATGCTCTTTTCTTTCTATTTTTTTTTTCTTTTTGAGAGGGAGTCTTGCTCTGTTGCCCAGGCTGGAGTGTAGTGGTGCAATCTTGGCTCACTGCAACTTGTGCCTCTCAGGTTCAAGCAATTCTCCTGCCTCAGCCTCCTGAGTAGCTGGGATTACAGGTGTGCACCACCACACCAGTGTAATTTTTGTATTTTTGGTAGAGATATTGGTCAGGCTGGTCTCAAACTCCTGACCTCGTGATCCACCTGCCTTGGCCTCCCAAAGTGCTGGGTTTACAGGGGCGAGCCACTGCGCCCGGCCGATTTCCCATACTCTTTCTACTCCTTGCTCTGTATATCCAGGGATGCTCCCTACCCAGGGTGCTGTGGGTTCCCAAACCCCAGGTCAGCCCTGATACGCGGGCCACACCTTCCTTTGGCCTAGGAATTGATAACCCAGGTGAGGAAGTCACTGTGGCATGAGCAGATGGTTCACTTCCAGGAACTGTGGAAGGCGTGTGCAGGTCCTGAGGTAGGGCAGAATCGGAGGGTACAGGGTCTGCAGGTCAGGAGGAGATGAGATTGAGTTATCAGGCAGTGGGAACTCACTGCCACTTACTTTCCTTCTCTCTTCTTGCCTCAGCCTCAGGGATATGACACATGCCCATGATGAGAAGCAGAACGTGGTGACCTTTCACGAACATGGGCATGGCTGCGGACCCCTCGTCATCAGGTGTATAGCAAGTGAAAGCAAGTGTTCACAACAGTGAAAAGTTGAGCATCATTTTTCTTAGTGTGCCAAGAGTTCAATGTTAGCGTTTCCGTTGTATTTTCTTGCAGTGTGCCATTCTGTTAGATATTATCCTTTTCATTGATGAGCAAGACATACTTAACGCATTTTTCGGTTTGCGTATCCATGCACCCACCTCAGAAAACAAGTATAGTCAGGTATTCTCTCCATAGAACAGAACTACCCTCCTTTCTCCCCAGATGTGACTACTGAGGTCAGGTCTGAGTGTATAATTTCGGATTTTTTCCTCTGCATTTACACCACACAGACACACACACACACACACACACACACATACACACACACACACACACACACCAAGTACCACTATAAGCATCTCCCATCTGCTTTTCTCCATTGCCATGCATCCTGCTCAAGCCCCCCTCACTCCGTTTCCTGTTCAGCATGTACTCCCCTCATCCGATTCCCCTCTATCAGTCATTGACAGTTAATAAACATTTGCAAACGTTCCCCAGTTTTTGCTCCTCTCGTTATTGTGTACACAGCTCTGTGCATGTGTGTGAATATTTCTTTAGGAAAGATTCTTAGAAGTGGAATTGCTGTATCAAAGGAGTCATTTATTCAACAAAACCCTAATGAGTGCATCCTTGTGCTGAGCGCTGTTCTAGGTGCTGGAGAGACATCAGGGAACATGGCAGGCAGATGTTCCTGACCACCATTCCAGAGGAGGATGTTTCCAGTTGTTTGTTTGTTTTTTCTAGAGACGGGGTCTTGCTCTGTCCAGGCTGGAGTGCAGTGGCATGATCATAGCTCAATGCAGCCTTGAACTCCTGGGCTCAAGCGATCCTCCCACCATGGCCTCCTAAAGTGCTGGGATTATAGGCGTGAGCCACCGTGCCTGGCCTCCAGTTTTTATTTTGATGGAGACTAAACACTTCAGTCCTGGAGCAGGATTCTGCAGCAGGTGGTTGGGCATCTTGGCCTTCGCCCTCTGAACAATTTTCGGGTTCTAGGGCTGGGACGGCCCATTTGGGAGTATGTGGGAGGATACACAGATGAAATAGTCCTCTGGGTGATGTGGAGGAATGAGGAAGATGCGTGCACGGTAAACCCTGTGATGGACAGGGAATAGAAGAGTCCACTTAGTCTCCATGCAGGGGAGCAACGGTGGGAAAGTCCCCTGGACAGAAGCATGAGACTGCCCATCAAGGGTCTCACCAACCAAGGGCCTGGGAGCTGGGGTGGGGACGATGATTTGGAATGCGACAGCTCTTTCTCACAGGTACTGTTATATGGTGCAGAGGGGAAACAGATGTGGGGAAGGAAGGGCAGAGGGGAGTCTGTTTTCGAACAAACCATTGTGTGTGAATGAAGACATCAAGGCCTCCTGGTTCTCCCCAGCCTTGGAAGGAGGACACCATCATCATTATGCCTATATGATAGATGAGAGACGGAGTCCCAGGCAGATGATAGGCATCTTGTCACAGGTCCCACAGCTGACAGGTGCACCAGAGGCTGAGTTTGGAGCTCACTGACTTCAGAAACATTAAGGAGGACGGGTGTGTGTGATGGAGGGAGGGAGAATTGAACAAGTCCCAGGTTTTGCCCCCAGTCACAATGTAGAGGTTTTGGGTTCATTTTCCCAAGACAAGGAGCACTCAGAGAGGGAGAGTGCAGGGAGGGGGAGGCAATCGTGGTCATAGTGGGGACAGTGGGAGACAGAGATATGCAGTGTGGGCAGAACAGGGGCAGGCAAAGAAGTAGGGGAGACCCAAGGCCAAGTGTGAGCTGTCACAACCACCAGAGGGACAGGGTGCCAGGAAGGAGGTTGTGGGGCTCCAGGAGCAGCAGAGGTTCCCCAGATCTGTGAGCATGCCCTGCCTGGCACTGCAGGAAGACGTGGCTGCCACCCAGGTCAGTGTGGACGTACCTCTACCTGTGACTCACAGAAAACAAATTCTATTTTATCCCAATATAGTTCTGTATTACACACATGTAACATTCCGTTACTAGATATTGAGTGCCTTATCCTCCATGCAAATAGAGGAGAGGATACCCTAAAAGAGATACTGAGGGATTTGATTTTTCTTTCTCCCTGGGAAGATGGAATCCATAAGTTGGGTTCCCCAGCCCACAAGACAGGTGCAAGGAAGGGTGGCTGGAAGACTGTGAGTCATGACAGGGAACATTTTTCCTTAGGTTCCTTGGAGATATAAAGCTCCTGACTATCTGTCTATCATGGATAAAGAGTGAACATGGTCCCCTCTCCACAAATGTGTTTCTCTCCTTCATTATTACTGTGAAGGGCTGAAGATACACCAAGTCCTGATACATCACATTTTTGTGTTATTTTTGAGACAGAATCGCACTCTGTCACCCAGGCTGGAGTGCAGTGATGCAAGTACAGCTCACTGCAACCTCAGTCTCCCAGGCTTAAGGGATTCTCCCACTTCCGCTTCCGAACTAGCTAGGACTACAGGCACACGCCACCACACCCAGCTAATTTTTGTATTTTTGGTAGAAACGGCATCCACTATGTTGCCCAGGCTGGTCTGGATCTCCTGGCCTCAGTCAATCCTCCTGCTTCAGCCTCCCAAAGTGCTGGGATGACAAGTGTGAGCCACCTCACCAGGCCTTCACTTTCTTTAATGAGCAATTAGCAGAGTTTCATCTTAGAGGCATAAGTGGCTACTGCCAGCCAAACTGTCTGTGGTGTTGGAGGGGAATCTGGCTGATTCAGACATTTCAAATGAACTTTTAAATTAACCTACCTGATGATTATCCTAAGGCCGTTTCCTGCTCCGTGATTTTTTGATTCAGGGTTTGGAGTTTTTCAGAGACTGTTACAAAGAGCATCTCCTGGCCGGGTGCGGTAACTTACGCTGTAACGTCAGCACTTTGGGAGGCCGAAGCAGGCAGATCACTTGATGTCAGGAGTTTGAGACCAGCCTGGCCATCATGGTGAAACCCCCATCTCTACTAAAAATACAAAAATTAGCCGGCTGTGCTGGCAGCCTCCTGTGAATTCCAGTTAATGCAGGGGCTAAGGCAGGAGAATCACTTGAACACAGGAGACGGAGGTGCAGTGAGCTGAGATCACACCACTGCACTCCAGCCTGGGCGACAGAGTAAGTCTCCGTCTCAAAAAACAAACAGCATCTCTTACCTACAGTGATTTGAGCTGTGGTCTGTTCTCCTTGGGTTTCTCTATCAGTCTGATCCCAACTACTCTATCTCCCTGGAATGCCTCAATATTTCTGGTGGACCACTGACACGCTTTCTTATTTTCCTCTACTGTTAAGAATTGACCCTTGAAAACATTTTCTTCCCAGTTCAATGGAATGTTGAGTGGGGCACGGAATCTATCTGCCATCTTGCTCCAATCATCTGGTTTTAGATATTTTATGTACTTTTGTCACTATAAACGTGTAATTTTTCTCAATTTGATTTTCTAAATGGTTATTATTGGTAGGTAGAAAGCCTTATCTATTACTGTATATAATATTTTGCTACCTGTCTGGGTGCAGCTTACCCTGCATTTTGGCACGAGACTCAATCTGTTTTATTCTACAAAAGAAAATTGACAGGCTGGGCACGGTGGCTCATGCCTGTAATCCCAGCACTTTGGGAGACTGAGGTGGGTGGATCACCTGAGGTCAGGACTTTGAGACCAGCCTGGCCAAGATGATGAAACCCCATCTCTACTAAAAAAATTTTTTTAATTAGCCATGCATTGTTGGCGCGCACCTGTATTCCCAGCTACGAGGGCAGCTGAGGCAGGAGGATCACTTGAACTTGGGAGGTGGAGATTGCAGTGAGCTGAGATTGCCCCACTGCACTCCAGCCTGGACGACAGCGATTCTATCTCTAAAAAAAAAGAAAAAGAAAAGAAAATTCACATCACAGGCAATAGAGAGTTTTAAAAGGATACTTTATGAAAGATTTCATAGGGGAGGCTTATGGAAAGAAGGAAATATATATTTTACAGAGCTGAGCAGTTCACAGCAAAAATCACCAGAACTGCCTTTTTCTCCAAAATTATTACTCCTACGCTATACTACTACTGGTTCTTCTAGTCCTTCCCTGTATTCCAAATCTTCAAATTGTCCATTTTCTTATTGGGATAATTTTCCTCTGCCCAGATCTAGGTCCTCCACAACACTTAACACTGTCTTTGGGTGTTTGAATGCCCATTGTTTTAGCTCAGGTTCCCAAGGAAACAGGCTTTGGGCCATACAGGACACCTCTAGACAGACTATACTGTGAAACGTCTGGAATGGTGCAGTGGGGAGAGGAGAGGAGAGGCAATTTACATACCTGGCTCTCACTCTTGGTTCCTTTTCTTATTGGTCAAAATTTACCCCACAGGCACAAACTCCCACACACTTCTAGATTGCATAATCTGCCCCTTTGGCAGCTGTCTGGGCAGCCAGATCCCACACTTTGAAGTGTAGTGTTTCATACAATCCAAAAGTGGTAGCAGAGGTTAGGCATGGTGGCTCACGTCTATAATCCCAGCAATTTGGGAGGCCAAGGCAGGCGGATCATGAGGTCAGGAGTTTGAGACCAGCCTAGCCAGCATGGTGAAACCCCGTCTATAGCAAATATACAACAATTAGCCTGGCATGGTGGTGGATGCCTGTAATCCCAGCTACTTGGGGGGCTGAGGTAGGAGAATCACATGATCCCAGGAGGCAGAGTTTGCAGTGAGCTGAGATCACACCACTGCACTTCAGCCTGTGCGACAGATCAAGACTCTGTCTCAAAAACAAACAAAGAAAGAATTTACAAATTCAAATTTTCTCAAGGAAATGCTCCAAGGAAAGTGAAATGGGGAAAGGTCTCTTCTTGCCCTTTTGACAACAGGAAAAATCTCAATTTTATGTTTAGTTACCCTTATAATTTCCCCCTATTGTTATTCTTTTATAGTAACACTATAATTTTCTAATTATCTCCACTGCTGTTTCTATCTTTCTCTGGGTAGTTTACAGCCACCTAGTTATCCAACAAGTCCATAGTAAGATGCAAAGCAAAGCAATTATCAGGATTATAACAAAATGATTTTTTTTTTTTTGAGATGGAATTTCTCTCTTGTTGCCCAGGCTGGGGTACAATGGTGCCATCTCAGCTCACTGCAACCTCCACCTCCCGAGTTCAAGCAATTCTCCTGCCTCAGCCTCCCGAGTAGCTAGGATTACAGGCATGTGCCACCAGGCCCAGCTAATTTTGTATTTTTTGTAGAGATGAGATTAGGCTGATCTTGGACTCCTTACCTCGGGTGCTCTGCCTACCTCATCCTCCCAAAGTGCTGGGATTACAGACATGAGCCACCACGCCTGGTCTAGAATGAATTTTTAAATTCAGTATAATACTCACCCTGTCAGGGTGAGGGGCGACCTTTAAACACATCATACTGGTTAATTGTGTCAAAGTCAAAATAAATTATAGAGACAAATCCCTAAATCAAATGCTCTATTCGCGAATCACAAAATTGCAATTCAGGACATACACACA